CCCCAAAACCCCAATCCCCAAAACCCCAAAACCCCAAAACCCCATAATACTTATCTTTAATTGATCTGAATTCTAATAAAATTACTTAAAATCAAATGGATTTCAGTAAAAGATCACGAAGTCATAACAAGACTTCAATGAACTTGAATATAGAAATTGAATTACTTAGAAGATGAAAGAACCTTGATAAAAGGATCTTACAAAGCTTAGCTTATTACACCCATATCAAGAATACGTTTAATGATGATCCTCTAGCTATGAGATTAAAATATCACTCTAATTCCAACCAGAACAAGAAACTATTGAAGGTTACTAAAGGAGTCATATCTGCAAGAAACATTCTATTTCAAGGTGACTGGGTAAAGCAGAGAAAAACCTGATTGAAAATGTTTAAAATTTTAGAAAATAGCCATAAGAAAACTCTTACTTTGCTCCCTTTTACTTCAAATCCTTCCTCAGCAAGACATGTGAGCTATAAGCTCTATGAAAAACACATATTTTCTATTTCTTCCTCTTTTCTAGAAGGATTGCATTTGAAAGGATTCAGAATTGGCAAAAGACAGTTCGAATGCTTGATTTATCACTCAAGAAATTTCATCTGGCTTAAATTAGCTTCATGAAAAATAGATTCAAGAGAATGTATCTTTGTAAATAAGTCTGAATACAAACTGAAAAAGTTGTCATTTGAATGATGTGGGCATCCAACTTGAAGTAACTGGATTGAAAACCCTCAAAGACTTGATGACATCTTGTTAGCTATCTCCAAATGCAGTCTCAAAGATTCACTACAACATCTTAATATTTCATGGAATTCTCGAGAGAAGGAGAAGCTAAAAAGAGGATTAGAAGATCTTGGCATTACTGATCTGAAGGTTTTTGGTCTCAATTTCCTTGGAGGAAAAAGATACTGCTTTAATTTAAGTGCTTAATAAACATTTCATTTATCAGTAACTATAATTGAATTCAATTTCGATCTACAAAAAGGGGTTTTGGGGTTTTGGGGTTTTGGGGTTTTGGGG